TTAAACTTTTTGTTTTGAGATAATTGTTGATTCACATGCAGTTATAAAAAATAAAATAGACTTGCAGTGTTCTTTTCCCAGTTTCCACCAGTGGTAACATCTTGCAAAACTTTAGTGCAATAGTACAACCAGAATGTTGACATTGATACAGTTAAGATACAGAACAGTTCCATGACTACAAGGATCCCTCATGTTGCCCTTTCATAGCCATGCTCACTTTGTAACTGCCCCTACCTCATTCTTAGCCCCTGGCAACCACTCTTCTGTTCTCCGTCTCTATAATGTTGTCATTTCAAAAATGTTATATAAATGGTGTTAGACAATATAAAATCTTTTGGAGTTGGGTTTTTTTACTCAGCATAATTCCCTGGAGATTCATCCAAGTTGTGTTTATTAATAATTTATTTCTTTTTATTGTTGAATAGTGTTCTGTGGTATGGATGTGCCATGTGTTAGTCTGCTTGGGCTGCCATAACAGAATACCACAGACTGAATGGCTTAAACAACTGAAATTAATTTTCTCACCATTCTGGAGGCTAAAAGTCCAAGATTAATGTGCTGTCAGAATTAGTTTCTGGTGAGGCCTTTCTTCCTGGCTTTTCATGGCCACCTTCTTGCTGTGTTCTGACATGGCCTGTGAAGAGAGAGAGATTTCTGGTGTTTCTTCCTCTTCTTATAAGAACACCAGTCCTATTAGATTAAGTCCTCACCCATATGACCCCATTTAACCTGTATTACCTTGTTGTAGGCCTTATCTCCAAATATAGTTAGGGCTTCAACATCTGGATTTTGGGGAGACACAGTTCAGTCCATAAAAACCACAGTTTGTTTAACTAGTCACTCATTGAAGGACATCTGGGTTGTTTCCGGTTTGGGGCTATTATTAATAAAGCTATTATAAACACTTGTGGACAGGTTTTTATATGAACATAAATTTTTATTTCTCTAGGATAAATGCCCAGGAGTGTGATTGCTGGGTTGTAAGGCAGAGATTACACTTTTGTAAGCAGGTTCTTCTCTCAGAAATCAGTAAGGCAGGAGAATTGCCTATCATTTGTTTATTTCCCCCTTTCTTACAATTTTGTGTAATTGCTAGTCTTTCTTTTCTCTCTTTTTTTTTTTCTTAAAGATGACTGGTAAGGGAATCTTAACCTTTGACTTGGTGTTGTCAGCATCACACTCTCCGAAGTGAGCTAACCGGCCATCCCTATATAGGGATCCGAACCAGTGGCCTTGGTGTTATCAGCNATCCAATTCCCACTCCCCCCTCCAGGGTCTGCGTTGAATATCCCGCGGGTCGGGACACAAGTGAGCTTGTCTCCTTATTGTGGGTGGGTGATAGGACCGATGTTATGGGTGAGGTGGAGAGGGGAGGTGGCATGTGGGAGAGCAGTGACCCTTTTATCTCTCCCCTTTTCATTTTTCTACTCTCACTCCTTTGGGCTGAAGGACAGCACTAAACGGTTGTGGCAGCTGAAGCTTAAGTGCTTGGTGAGTCCAGTTGTTGAGTGAAGAAGCAAGAAAGGAGGTGAGGAAGAGTTCATTGTGGCACTGTGCTGATGGTCTCCGGAAGCTTAGTGTTATTATACTTTTTAAAAAACATTAAACTTTTTGTTTTGAGATAATTGTTGATTCACATGCAGTTATAAAAAATAAAATAGACCTGCAGTGTTCTTTTCCCAGTTTCCACCAGTGGTAACATCTTGCAAAACTTTAGTGCAATAGTAAAACCAGAATGTTGACATTGATACAGTTAAGATACAGAACAGTTCCATGACTACAAGGATCC